ACACACACACACACACACACACACACACACACACACACACACACACATTGTGTCACAGTGTCCACATTACTTTTTCACTTGTTACCTGCTCTCTGTATGACGCTGATTTTTGCCACTAGAAGAATGTTTCAGAAGAGTATGTTTTACACCCATGAAATGCAATTGTTTTGAAATCACCCCAGTGGCTCTCTGCTTTCCTAGGAGCAGACCCTAACTCCAGAAGCATTACCAGGCAAAGGGAGGGTGAGGAACATTGGACAGTGGCTCCTCACGTCCTCAGGAAGAGCTGGAGAGCTGCAGAGAGAAGTGGTGCATTATTAGTTCTTTCCATTTCTGTCTCATTCTCCGCTAGTCCCAGGTAAGCTGTCACAGTGACGCTTGGTATTAACAGACTAGAAAACATGCTCTTCTTGGATTGACGACGTGTGATTTTTGGTCTGGGGAAGATATGAAGATGCACCTTTGGCTGCCACAGCCCATGCCAACTACGGGATCCACTGCTCTGTACAATCCCTTCTTTCACAGTGGGTGGGGTCAGGCAGTTAGATGCGTATAACGCCAGTTGGCTGGCGAAGAGCAGGTTTAGTGCATCAAGACAGAAAATTGCCCAGTGGACACGATCATAAGTTCTTCCCAGAGCCCTGTCCGAAGGTCACCGACTCTGAGGGCTGCAGCATGGCCACCACTCCTACTGAGTTCATGGAAGCATGTAATGGGTGGCACAGAACAGTCAAGCATTGTCTGGGAAAGACCATGCAAGCGCATCATGTGATCATTCCAGATGGTTGCCCCACTGGAATTTGCTGGTGGGTTTTCTACAGAGGCAGCTCTCCTCGCACTCAAACGCTTTCCTTGTGCACAAAGCAGCTGGTTGGCTATGGCTATACGACGCAGTACAGCCCTGTGCGCCCGTCCCCCGGGGCTGGCACTGAGCCGCCTCGTCCGATACCCTCGGGCGACACTGAGGAGCTCTCCCTTGTTAAAATGTAGCACTTGCAGTGGAAGAGAGAGATGCAGCATGAAAGCATTTCTCTCTGCTGCTCTGCTCACCCATCTATTATAGACTGTGTAGGGAGGCCTCCATTTTCCCAGTACGCTCCCGGCAAACACTAGGAATGCTCCAGCTGACACCACTGTCTCTTGTGTGCCAATCCTGTACAGCTAGACCACACCGTTATCAGGTACAGTGCTTGTCAAACACAGGGCCAGTTTACACACGCCGCAGTGGAATATACACATAAAGACTGACTTGACTGTGCGTCAGAACTCAGTGCGGCCAGCTGACACCCCCGGGCCCCCAGGAGCCTACAGAACGCCTGGCGTTTCTCACCCCAATCATCAGAGACTGGGCCAAATTCTGCTCGCAGTGAAATCTGGAGCAGTGCCATTCATTTCAGAGTGCTTGCTCTGAATGGACACTGAGGCCACTGAGAACTATGGACCCCAGGCCACAGCACGGCCCAGTTATAGAGGTCCCCAGAATTCCAGTGACTGTTTGGCCATCAAGCCATGTAAAAACCAGGCCCAGTATCTAGACACATTTCAGATGAACAGACCCTTGAGAGGCAGACTTGGCATTTCAGGCTCCTGCTGCGGTAGCTGTGCACCGAACACACCAGAGAGAACAGAGCTAAGCAGAGGGGTGACCCAAAGCTCACCGCGACCCTGTCTCTCAGCCATGTTTTGTCTCCCGGTCAAATCTTAAGGGGAAAACGTTAAGTATTTTGTACAGGGCTTGACATATTTTATAAAGACTCCGGTATAAGCCTGCGTGGCCCAGGAGGGTACGCCGCACATAGGGTTCTATCCACAGCACATGCTTTGCCCTTTTGGCGTTAGCCACTGGAAAATAACCAAGAGCAGCTCCCTGTGAACACGTCTTCAAGGCCCTGTGCCACTGCCAAGCAAAGGTGTTCCTGTTCGAATGACGTGGCGACCCTGGGCGCAGCCCGAGGAACGCCGAGTGACACCGCACATGCCCAGAAGGACACAGGGGATGAAAGCTACAAGAGCAAATCCAAGCGTTTGCTCTCTTGCACTGCCCTCCGATTTGTCCAGTGGTATGTCCAAGTACCGGGGATTGTTCTGTAACTAAAGCCTTTACGTCAGTTCTTTATAAACCCCCTGACTGCCTGGTCGGCTGGTTTGGCCTGGGGAGGGACCTGCCTGCTGCGGCGCCCTTGGCCAGACAGCTTTTGCTGTTTTGGCCTCCCCTAGATGTGGCAGCTGAGAACGAAACCTTTGGCACATGAAGCACCTCCTGAGGCAGGGGGTGAGCATCTGAGTGCATGGCGTTAGGTATCACAGTGAATGATTTACATCCTGGCCTGGGACAGCGTCCCTACTCTGAGAAACCTTACGCAGGATACTGGCTGCTGCCTGTAGTGCATCCCCCCTCCCTCTCTCTGCTGCATGCACCACATCTTCTTTTGTCACAGCTGGTAGGACCGGTTCTCAGCTCTCTAAACAGTCCTGCGTCTCCAAAGGGCTCTGATCATGACCTGTGGAATGACCCCTCTTTCCCCATCCACAAAACCCTCCATAACCCTGCCCCGCCCTGCAGCAGCAGCCCCAGCTGGGCAGTGGTTATTTCAGCCGGACACACGGCAGTTATAAACAGCTGTCAGGCAATGGAAATTACAAAATAACAAACGAGCAAAGAGGAGGAAACGTGAATATAAAAACTCTTGCCCTTGGCGTATTGTCTAGTCGGTAAGCTGCAATTCTCCTTCCACAGGGAGAAGGTTCAAGTTCTTGAGAGATCCGAAGCCTGGAAATGTCAGTTCCTTTTCATAAAAAAACCCAACCAACCAACCAAAAAACAAAATCCATCCCCCAAGCCACAAATTGTTGTAAACAAACAAGGTCAAAGGACAAATCTCCAAACAACGACAACAGAAAAATAAATGGACACGTCAGCATTTGTAATCAAAAACTACTACATACTGTACTTGGGAAGTCTTCTGAGAAAAGGTCATTGGCAACTAGTGAGGCGATCACTAAAAGTCTTGTGCATATGATATGTATGAGACAATGATGCCATTGGAGGGCTGGATGGGCAGACCCCTGGAAAACGCGTCACTCACTAAACCGTTCCATGGCAAGAGCAAGAAAATAAGAGCTCTAAAAAGGATTGGTTTCCCCATCCCCCACTCCCAATGGGTTCAAGGTTTCTTCGCATCTGCAGGAAAAAAGACTCTTCTCGTCTCAGTTTGTTTATTTTACAAAAATCTTCAGCTTTGCAAAAGTTTGCCACTTTACAGATGCGCTTGGTCCATTACACGGCAAGAACTTCTCAGCTCTCTCTCCCCCTGTGATTCGCCAGCTGGGGGCTTTCGGGGACGACTGCTGGCTGCAGGATGTCCCCAGAGTCACCATCCCAAGGGAGAAAAGGAGGAGCGCTTCCCGTGTCTTCACTTGGCTTTCATCTCCTTGACAAAGTCTCTTTGCTCCAGAGGTGTCTGAGGCCTGCTGAAGCAGCCTTGTGCAAGAAGGAAATGAAAGGATCTGCTCTTGTATCTCCCTTTGGAGACTCCTGTGGATCTCAGAGCCCTTTTCGAAAATGCCATTGCTTTATTATTATTATTTTTAAAAAATATTTCATAGTTTTCCCAAAATATTTGTCTTCCTTGTTCCCTTTTTTCCATTGCTTAAATTCTAGAAGCTCTTGGCAACTTTTTGTTGTCAGGATGTTGCTTCCTGTTGCCACGATCCTTAGAGCAGCTGCCTGTCTCTGGTGAATGCAGAACACTCAAGACCTGGAGCTTGGACGTACAGGGGCAAAGGGGAGAAGGGCCTTGAGGAAGAGGAGCGTGAGGACGTGTGAACATCAAACCTCCACAGATTGGATCTGATTCATCTGTGCTCGCATCACTTGGATACTGTTCAGAATTTTCTTCTGATGGCCTGCTAAAGTGACCCCGACTCGCAGAATGTCCCTTTGGAATAAAAACAAACACACAAGAAAGGCCAGTAAGGAACCCTGTTCAGACACAGAACAAACCCATACGCTGAACATGCATCTGCAGCGCTTTCTTGAGGAAGCTGGGAGTCTTAGGGTTGCTTCTATTAAACTATTACTACAGAAATGTAACAGCTTAAACTGGATTTGGTCTCTCACTCAGGGCCCCAGGTCTTTGTCTGTTTCTAAGTCTCTCCTTAGCCTACTTCTCCTAGCCTCTGCACTTCCTCTTAGATAGCTGCACTATGCCCAGGATGGTCTATGCCACACAATAGATTCAGAACTGACGACTAACAGCTCATTCCCATGTTCAGAACTCTGCAAATCATTGAACCGCAACAAAGGACGTGAGTTTGTTGCTGATGAAAGGTGGAGGACTGACAGCCCTGGAGGATAGGTCCAGCAATGGCTATTAGCCAAGACGGTTGGGGATGTAACCCCATGCTCTGGGTGTCCCTATGCCTCTGTTTGCCAGAAGCTGGGAGTGGACGACAGGGGATGGATCACTTGATAATTGCCCTGTTCTGTTCATTCCCTCTGGGGCATCTGGCATTGGCCACTGTCGGAAGACAGGACACTGGGCTAGATGGACCATTGGTCTGAGCCAACGTGGCCGTTCTTATGTCCTCTCTCTCTCTCTCATCACATTTCTGTCTTTCAGTTTTCACATCCGTAACATGGGGATCATGACACCGACCTTTCTTTGCAAGGCACTTTGAGGTCTCTGTCTGGAAAGCATTACATTATTATTCATCGTTATTATCGTTCGGGTATTCTTATGGGTCCCATTGCCATCCCGTGCATGAATCCAATGGAAGCTGCCCATGCTGCCCCTATTACTGTACCTCAGCTCCATCCCCAGCTGGTCTTTTGCTCGTTCGCTTCTCTAAGGAGAGTGCCAACAAGGATGGCAAATTAGTGCCAGCGGTGGAGATCTTGTGTGTGGGCACCCAGGACCTTCCCACTAGGACTGGGGCCAGCAGCTCATTTCACACAAGCTGCTGCAACAGCAGTCGGACAGTAACACCTGGGGTCACTGCCAAGCTGCTGCATCCCGAGTCGGGCAAGGAGGCTCCTGTCCCCCGGCTAATCCTGTATATTTCTCCTGGCCAGGATTTCCACAGCCTGAACCATTGGCTATTAGGGGACTGGTTTTATCAGAAAAAGTCATGCTTGTGAATTCGATGCCCTAGGCCCTAAACAAGTCCCAGTGACGCAGGGGGCTGGCACTACGAAGGACGTATTACTGTAGGCGGGGAATTCACCGTTGTAAATCAGACGCTCTCCATTTGACTGTTGTCACACCACCGCCTGGACACGTAGGGGCCCAACACGAGTGACAAGGGACTGCAGGACAATTCCTCCAGCACAGGAGCCATGGAGGCCTTCTTGCATTGGCCCTTTGCTACCGCCAGTCACAAGCCAAGGGTGAGGGGGGCAGGAGAGTCATGTGCCAATAGCAGAGAACGGAGCAGGCTGCCCCACGTTAAAGCAGCTCTGTGCCTTCTCAGACAGCCCTATGTGTGAGACCCCAAGGCCCCAGCAGCCCTGGTATTCCCCAGACTCTCAGGCAGCATCCTCTTTGCTAACCCCCAGAAGGAAATCTGGCTTCCGGGTGGTGGGCTCCGCATGGACCTTCCCTCCCTTCTTGCACTGACAGGTACTGATGCTCAGACTCCCAGTCCCCTTTATTGCACCACAAGACCCCAAACTGGCATCTCTAAAACCCTCAGCTCCCAGCCCCCCCAGTCTTTGCTCTCCTGCTGGAATCTGTGGGGTGGGCAGACTTGCTCAGGGAACTGTCCGCTCCCACCTCTGCTTTCCAGCTGACGTGTTGATGAGCAATCTCATTTCCTGCCGTGTTCATAGGGAGAGAAAGGGTGTCCCTCTCACAGAGCATTTTGATATTTCAACCTGTGGTTTCATTCTGATTACAAACCAAACTCCAACATTTTGAAATTCTCCACAAAAGGGAACGGAGCCACACTTGCCGCATGGGCTGCTCTACAGCCCTGGACCCTGGGGCCCCGGCTAGGATGCAGTGGGTGTGCCAGGCTTTCCTGGAATCTGGAAGCTGCTGAGGACCCAGGAGGCGAACCTGGGGGGGAACTCGGCAGGTTTCAAAACCTGCCTGGGCAAAGTCAGAACTTTGGCAAAACTGAACCCTCCCCATGAAACGTTTCAAATTCACTGCATCAGCGACCAGCTCTGTATATACGGTCACCTGCTGCTTCCCTGCCCAGAGACGTGGAGAAGGCTGAGTTTGGGGATGTTTTTATTGGACACTCTGCAAACACCAGTCACCTGTTTGGCAGAGCTTTGGGGTCATAGTGCTGACATTGTGTTCCCCGGCTTGTGGACCAGAGCTCCTCCCCTCCCCAGAGCCTCCCTCTCGCCCTCCTTCTGCTGCTCTGACTGTCCTAGGGCACCTTTACTGTCGTTTCTAAGCTCCGCCTGGAGGCTTCATAAGCCATCTCTAGCAGCCCGTGGAGCTGCTGTGGAGACACGGACACATTCGGAACGGTCCTATGGCTATTTCCAGGCAAAGAACAAAACAAAAAAACCCCAAACAGAAAAGGGCAGTTTGGCTGGTTTCGACTGAGCTCACCTGCAGGCTGCCCTGCCCCAGACCCATAAGAAAACAAAGCATTCCCGTGCTTCCAGACGGCTTTCCCGCAAGCGTCATTCATTCCACTGTCTCCGGCAGGGCCTCCAAAGTTCGATGCACCTAGCCACAAATCTTTTAATAGACGCATCGAGGCCCTAAGGGATTCCAGCAGCCCGCAACCCACTGGAGCTGGCATTTCAGCAGCCTGCTCGTCCCTGGAGAGCCTGCTACATTTTTGTGACTGTTGGATGGGGGTGAGGAGCATACCCTTGTTTCAAATGTGTGCAGGGTTATTTGGAACGAACGGGAGACCATCCTGGCTCTCAGAGACGTTTTTCAGGCAGCGACTTGTATGCAATATGCAAGTGCTTGTCAGCAATGGATCCACTGGGGTCATGGCATCCCAAAGTGCCCTCCAGTGGCAGGGGAACTGCCTGGTGCCCACCTGTAATCTTTACTGTTCCCCCTTGACATTGTTGGGCTAGTTACGGGGCTTGGAGAACCTCATGCAGAACTGCATCTTCATAGAAGGGAGAAAACCAATCGGATAGCATGGAGATGAATGGTGTAGAAATATCTAGTAGACAGATACTCAGCCCATGGATTAAAGAGGAAAAGCGGGACTGGAAAAGATTAGAAATGATTGGGGGGGATTCTTTTCTTTTTCTGGCACAAAATTATTAATATTATCTAACGATAAGATTAATATAAAGCTCAGAAACCTCAAATCTGATAAGGGCCAATTGTTGCAAGATCCCGGAGGTCTTTGCTTCGGTTTTGTGACTACTGCTCTCGGCACTTACTCCATGGTCATCTGTGACACCACGTCAAAGGTGGCAAAGCCGGCGCTGGCAAAGCTCTCCTTGTACTGGCCCATCTTGATGGCATCCAGCCATTCATCCACTGTGTTGAAACTGGTGTAATCGGGGATTGTGCGGTCCAGTAAAGGGAGGTTAATCCTGAAAAAGAGAGACAGAAAACGAGCAAAAGTTAGTGGCAGCCTGTGAGGGGCTTTCTTTACCCTTTGCTGGCTGTGGAAGATGGGGCAAACCCTGGAATGCACTTGCAGCAAGTCCATTCACCGTCTGTCCCTGTGTAGATGACTTTACCCACGTGTGGACTAACACTACAGAGTGAGTTTGCGGGGCTGGATAAAAATGTACCCTTGCCTCCCCCTTAGCAGCTCAAATCTAGATTGATCATAGGGAACAAATATTTAACAATGGCCTCTTTAATCTAGCAGAGAAAGATATAACATGATGGAACATAATGGCTGGAAGTTGAAGCTAGAACAATTCAGACTGGATATAAGGTGTAACAGTGAGAGTAATTAACCCCCACTGGAACAATTTACCAAGGGTTATGGTGAATTCTTCATCACTGACCCTTTTAAAATCAAAACTGGATTTTTGTCTACACAATGTGCTCTAGGAATTATTTTGGCAATGACCTATGATCTGTGTTATACAGAGGGTCAGAGAAGATGACAGAACAAGGAGCAATGGTTTCAAGTTGCAGTGGGGGAGGTTTAGGTTGGATATTAGGAAAAACTTTTTCACTAGGAGGGTGGTGAAGCACTGGAATGGGTTACCTAGGGAGATGGTGGATTCTCCTTCCTTAGAGATTTTTAAGGCCCGGCTTGACAAAGCCCTGTCTGGGATGATTTAGTTGGGGATTGGTCCTGCTTTGAGCAGGGGGTTGGACTAAATGACCTCCTGAGGTCCCTTCCAACCCTAATATTCTATGATTCTATGATCACAGGGGTCTCTTCGGGCCTTGAAATCAATGACTCTATTAATCTAAGCATATGATGGGGATCTGGGTGCTAGCCCCAGTTCTACCACTGATTTACTATGTGGTCGTGGGTATATTGCTTCCCTTCTCTTTCTCAATTTTCCCATCTGTGAAATGGGGACAATAGTACTGAACTCCTGGGGGGGGGGTGTCGAGAGGCATGTCTGCACAGGGCTCTGGGGAGCTCAGCTCAGAGGAGCAGTAGACATGAATACAATCGTTATACCCCTAAAGGGGATCCCTAGTTTTAGTTGTAACAAAGCAGACCTGTGGGGACAACAATTCATAATGACAAGTCAGTAGCATCTGCAAAGTCACTCACATCCTACTGCCTACCCACACTTCCGTCTCCTGTCTCCACAGTATCCTGTGGCTCCAGCACCCTCTTTCTAGCTCTTCACCGCTGTATCTGTCAGAGCAGCACTTGACTGGCTACGGGTGCCAGCCCGGAATGCTATCTGTGGGGCTGTGGCTGCGTTTAAGCGAGCTCCCCCCAGGCCAGTCACTAATGAGGACTGATGTTGCAGGGCTGCAGATGTCCTCAGCTCATTAAGGCCTTACTCCCTTTGTTTTGCTCTGAGAAGGGGCCAAGTGCCTGTGAAGTCCGTATTGTTACTGGCAAACAGATCTGCCTGGGAAGTGTCAAAGTCTATTTGCTCCTTCAGGGAGCCTGGTGAGGTTAAGTGGCTAGGTGGCCCTGAGCAGGGCTAGCCAAGCACTTCCTCCCAGGGACGGGAGCTGGGGGCTCTTGGGGCACAAGGAAGAAGGAAAAAACGAAAGTGAGGGAGCTGCAGAAGTCCCAAATGGCAGCTGGAACGCTCCAGCTCCTCGACTGAACCAGCTCAGGTTTCCTCCTGGTTCTTGCCCAGCTCAGACCTCCGCGCCGACCTCCCTCTCCTCCCCAAACAAGACATCCAGCCCCAATACCAGCTGCTCCCTCATGACACAAAATCGGAGTCGGGAAAGTTCTGTTATTTCTGTAAAAGAAATGAACCCTCCCTTTTCCTTTTCAGCTTTTTGCAAACCCACCCCGTTATCAAGGGCCTTTCGTCTTACACCTGGGCCGGGACAGCACGCTGTCACGAACGGCATCTGGATTCCTGACACTGCACGTGTCTCCTCCCCAGGATATCTTCTACACATGCTCACCAGGAACTCGAGCTGTGTAATGGATCCATTGCTTGGCAAAGGCCAATGTCTGGACTAGAACCTGGGTCCTTGGTTTTCTAAGAGAGCTTAAAAATGCTGCCCAGTGAGCTGAAGCCTGTGGAAACCTCTTTTTATTCTCCCAGTTTTCTTTAACACATGGCTCAGGACATGTTACAGAGGAGGACGCATCCGCTCCCATCACCGGAAGGCACCGCTACCCGTAGATAATGGAAATGGCCAGGCATACTTTCAGCTGAATGCCTGAGATTTCACAGTCTGGTGTGGACACACGGTACCTGCCATTGATGGAGTTCCCTTTGAAAGAGAAGCTCCAGGGTGACAGAAGAAATACCTACCCGGAGGAGAGGGGTGCCATGGCTTTCAGGCTATTGGGGTTCCGGATCATTTTGTCCAACGTGTTGACAATCTGCCCGAATTTGGGCCTGTGGTTCCGGTCCTTCTGCCAGCAGTCGAGCATTAGCTGGTGCAAGGCGTTGGGGCAGTCCATGGGAGGGGGCAGCCGATAATCCTGCTCTATCGCATTTATCACCTGCAAGACAAGCCGCAGCGACAAGGTCAGTGCAGTGGGAGTAGCCAGGAGGAGTGGGACAGTGCAAATATCACGTGCCAAAGAAGTGCCCGTTGAATTGGCATTGTTCATCATCTCGGCTTCAGGGAGTGACAGGCATGGACAGCCTTCGACCACAGGGGCCCTGTCCCTCTGTCGCACTGAATCACCTGTGACGTACCTCTGCTGGCACATGCAGGCCAGTTATTTTCATGGTAATGACACCCAGGGTGGGACGGAAACACCTGGTTTGCTCCCTGGCCCCATCCATGGAACGGAGCCTGAGGCGCAGATCTGGGCTACTAATGGGGCAGCTCTGGCACATGGCCCCTCCCCCCCGGCAGTGTTTTCTGCTCCCTCCAGCCGAATGGTCCCCAGCCTGGGCTGTGCTGACCACTGCCTCCCACTCAGCTGGGTGCACTTAGGGTATGTCCGCACTGCAGCTAGACGCCCATGGCTGGCCCGTGCCAGCCGACTCAGGGGCTGCAGGGCTGGCTTGCGGGGCTCAGGCTGCGGGGCTCTTTAATTGCAGTGCAGACTTCCAGGGGCAGGCTGGATCCCGGGCTCTAGGACCCTGTGAGATGGGAGGGTCCTAGAGCAAGGGCTGCAGCCTGAGCCTGGCAGTGTACACTGCAATGAAACAGCCCTGCAGCCCAAGTCCACTGGCATGGGCCCGCCGCAGTGTAGACACACCAACGTGGGTAACAGAAGGGGGAGGGGGAGGAAGCAGTGGGTCACCCATGGAGCGGAGGCTAGAAAACCTGTCACAAAAGCCTGCAAGAACACAGCTGGCACATAGGCTCGTGCTTAGGAGCTGCTGCTCGGTTGCCTCTTTGGCTTCTCCATGCGCCCATGTATGCCTGGGGGATGCTGGGCCTCTCCATGCATATACTGTACCTACATGCATCCCCAGGCCCAGCCGGCCTTCCCCTAGGGACATCCTGCCCCTTTCCTCTGCCACCATTGGCAGTGTCTGGCACCTGCAGCTGCCGCCCTGGCCAGGGTGACGCGGGTGCGCAGGAGTAAGGAGGCTGCTCTAAGACGGTATGGTCTGCTCAGAGGGCAGCCTGTTCCTCTCACAGCCGTGCAGTGAGGAAGGCTTCTGGGAAGCTCTCCTATCATCCCCCCGGGCGTCCCCTGGGCTGTGCTCTGGGGCACGGCACTGGCTGGTCACCGACACGACAGGAAGAGGAGACAAAGCAGTGGGCACCACGGAGCAGGCTGCTCTGGCTCCGGACAAGAGCCCCTGGTGCTGACCCGAGACTGCAGTCAGCTACTGCACTTGCCTAGCCATGAGAGAGAAGGAAGAGCTCACCCCAGAGAAGGTGACAATGGAAAGGTCACACACCTAACGCTAAGGATTGTTTAGCTGCGTGAGAATAGCAACTCACCATATGCAATGCAGCACAATACAATGCAACTCATTCCCTGCTGTGGAGAGAGACCCTGAATGAGAACAACAGGGATACAGCAAGTCAGGATTCAGGCAGAGCCGTGTGGGGAGCCCAGAACTGGAGTAGCAGTGGAAGGGTGGGAGATCAGGTCCAAGGTACAGGGTCAAATACGTGTGTGCATGCACTGACCTGCAAGGTGAGGCTTGGAAGAGCAGGGGGCTGCCAGTCATAACTGAGGGGCATTGGCAGAGCTGGGGGTGTGTAAGGGGAATCCCAGAGCTGGAGTAGCAGGCAGGCTACTGGTCAGGATGGAGGGGTACCACGGAGCTGCACATCTCTGTGTTGAGCCAAGGACTGGAATAGCAGGGGAGCTGCCAGTCATAACTGAGGGGCATTGGCAGAGCCCCGGGCTGGGTGCAGGGTGGGGCTGAGGTGCCCGGACAGGGCTGCATGCAGGGAGAGCTCAGCGCTCACTACAACGCTGCTGGGAGCCGCCTTCCATCCTCACAGGTGCTAACCTGTGTCTGGACCCACAAGCCCCGCGCCCACCAATCCAGGAAGCAGCACTGGCCAGTGGGAGGAGGTGCCCGCTCAGCCTGTCCGGGTCTAACCTGAGGAATCGCTACTGGGCTTTGTGCGGCTCTCGGCCAGGAGAAAACCCTCTCCTGAGAGATGTGACCTGTCCCCTCTCCCCACGGCTGGCGGATCCACCCGAGACAGCAAGGAGGGAAGGGGGCACACAGGGGGAGTGGGGCTGGGGACAGTCATCACACAGGCAGCAGGCATTGACCCAGCAAATCCCCAGTAAAGCACCGGCCCAGCTGCCAGCCCTGAGCTCTCTGCTCAGCTCCTCTTCCTGCTCCTCCCGGCTCTCACACCCTGGACTCAGGAGGCTAATCTGCAGCGAGCAGACAGCGCGTCTTCAGCTCACGTGAAGGACCTGGAGCAATCTGGGGCAACGTCTAAGGTTCTGAAGTTTGTTTCTATCTGCACTGGAATGAAAGCCAGGTCTTTTGACTGGAGCTGCGGAGTCTCGCTTTGGGAAGATTTTTTGGGTCCAGGGCTCTGCGGTCACTTCTGACCAGACGGACACTAACTAGGGCGCTGGCCGGGGATGTGGCAGACCCAGCTCCAAAGGCCTACTCGCCCTGGTTCAGAGCAGAGCTTCTGTCACGGATTATGCTGAGTCGGGCTGAGCAGGGACTCAAGCCTTGGTCTCCCACGTCCAAGGCCAATGCCCTAACCAAAGGCTACAGCCTGGTCAGAAGTGAGCCACCTCTGACTGCCAGAAGCTGGGACTGGACGACAGGGGTTGGCTCACTCAACAATTGCCCTGTTCGGTTCATTCTCTCTGAAGCACCTGGCACTGGCCACTGTCAGAGACCAGATACTGGGTTAGAGGGACCACTTGCCTGACCCAGCCTGGCCGTTCTTAAGTTCTTATAGCGCTCTGGACTGGTGAAAGCTGACACGCCTCTGAACAATGTTTTGGCTTTGCCAAAAATATTCCGACCAGCTCTGTGCCCATCGTTCAGCAGGTGAGAAGCGGGGGAGGGAGCTGGGGTCTCTCCCGGGGAAGGAGGGCTGTGGCCTCCAGACATAACGGAGTTCTTGTGAGCACCTACACTGAGGAGGAGGTTCCTACGCACCCTCCAGGCTGGTTGTGGCCCAGGGAGAGGGAAATGCTGGGCACAGAAGGATGCGTTGGATCGGTGCAGTGGGACGCTGGTTACACCAGTGTTGACTAGGAAGCCATTTGCAGTGCACAACAAATACCACCTTACCAAGCCCGACTTATGAACAATGCTACGTATCCTTAAGTGCCGCTTGTTGGTGCTCTTTCTATTAGCTAATTACACGTTCCCATGTCTACAGATAACCCTCCTTCCTAGAGCACTCCTGGGACACCCCAAAGGGGTAGAGTTTGAACTATTCTGTCCAGAAGAGAGGAACTGGGGGAGTGGCTGCATTTCCACGATGAGGAGGTGTAAAAAGCAGCTATGTGCCTGCACTGCAGAGCCCAGGGGAATCTCCAGGTCCCAGAGTAAGTGACACACTCATTGGGGCCTGCATCTTGCCCTAATACCCGTTTGCCCCCCAAGGATGGAAGCAGCTGACTGCATACATCAATCTTCCATCACCAGCCAGAACCACGCCCAGCTCGTGGAGAGCGCAGGGTATAGGAACGGCTCTGCGAATGGGTTCTAGCAGGGAAAGGACGGGTCTGGGGTTCTCACAGAAGGGCGGCCGAGTCCTGATGCTCGCGGTGAGGGAACGTCCCAGGCTAGAAGGCCTTTACAGTGGAGAATATTTCCATTCTCCGGTGCTCTGTGCAGGGGATCTCCTGATCTTCAGCGTCATTGCCTGGCAGTGACTGTCCCCAGCTGCAGATCCTTCACAAGGCAGAGCTTTATTGCTAAGCCCATGCTAGTTCCATGGAGCTGATGGGTCTCAATAGAGGGTTAGACTTTGCTGCACCTCCCAAGAGGGAAGAAGGGGCAAGGCGGCTGTGATGGGGTTTAAGGTAAAAGGAGTGGTGGAGTAGTATGG